AGGAGAGATTTATTCTTTGTTTCCTTTTTAGGATTGGATTTACGGTTGCTTTTAAAATCTATTTCAATTCTATACTCTTAACACTTTCTTAACACTAATATAACCCCACACATTAAACCTCTACTTTGACTGGATCTTAGGCCTTGTATTGGGTGAAGATTATTAAAAAAATATTTAACAGCAAGGGCATGACGCTTTCAAAGCATTTTCCTCTGGCTGAAATACCGTCCCATCGAAACCTTCAAGATGACAATGTTGACATAAAAATTTCGTTTTAATAAATAATTATTTTCGAGTCGAAACGTCATTACAAAAATAAAATAACGTAAAGAATGTGATATGTCCCGGGAAGGGATATATTTGAACAAAGTAGCTAAGTGGTTTTGGCTACTATAACCAAGTAGAATAAGGTAGCAGTAATCGACTGGTACGCTTCGTATTCACAGGTAAGAAGTGTAGATCAATGGCGTAGTCCAATATGCGTCGTTATAAACTTAGCTCTCAGACTAAGGCTCTTGACTCTCCTACACGTCCGTCGGTATTTATGACGGACACCAGCCAATCATATTCCAGTGAGGGGGAACACACGTGTACGCATATTCCATTATATCAGAATGAAACAATTAAATAATTAATCAATTAATATCAATTATCTCCATCTTCAGTGGACAGCGGAAAGAATAAATAAATGCTCAGTTAAACGTTCTGGGAATGGGATAAATTCCTTAATAGTTAGGAAGCGAAATAAATTCTACTGATAAATGATGTGAAATTTCGCATATCTATAGCTTGTGTCGCCTTGAATAAAATGGATATAATCTGGAAATCTGATCTACCAGAATCTGGAAATCTGATCTACCACACAGCCTGAAATGGAGATTCTTTCGACCCAGTATAGAGGCGGTATTAATGTAAGGTACCATTGTTTGGACATTAAATAAAACCATAGAATCTAAGCTTGATGGAACCTACAGTTGGATGCTGAGAGCTATGCTTAACATCTCTTGGAGACAACATCCAACTAAATCATAACTCTTTGAACCCATCTCTGAGATTCCTACAATCTTAAGCGAACGCAGAATGTGCTTTGTAGGACACTGCTGGCGAGCAAAACAAGTACCCGTGAGGGATCTACTACTTTGGACACCTAGGTATGAAGCCAGACTTGTTGATCGCCCAGCAACAACCTACATTGACCAGCTATGTTATAACATAAAACACAATTTCTAATGACCACCCGAAACTTGATGGTTGGCGTTTTAGACTGAATAAAAATAATTCCAACGACTGAAACATTAACGTCAAGAGGAAGACAACACTTTTAAAAAATCTGTGTATGATAAGGGTAATTTCTTGTAATGAATCATACCAGACTAAGTTTCTGACCAGACTATAAAGTAATCTCTTAGGATGGGTTAACAAATTCATTCTGGCTGTTGAATGAAGAAATACGTGATCTAACAGTTGTATTCGTTTTCCAAGTATGAGAATAATTTGTAATACAAGTGGTTATTTTCGTGAATACTCATAAGTAGACTCCCCGTTTATTTATTAAGGATTATATATATATATATATATATATATATATATATATATATATATATATATATATATATACTAGCAGTAGAGCCCGGCGTTGCCCGGGGATGTAACAGTAAGAGATAGATCAAGTATCGACCATCATAAAGACTGAAAAATAAAAAATTGACAAAGATTATTGTTTAAGGTTGACGGGCACGCATGTCTTAATTAGTTTTTTTTTGTTTTGTTTGTTTGTTTTTTTTTTTTGTTTTTTGGTGTTTTTTTTTACGAATTGGTCAAACCCAAACTCAAACAAAAACATTGTTTGCAATTGTTATGAGTTTACCGATTGAATAGAATAATTATCTTGTAAATGGAATTTTTAAAGCATTCTGAATGTAAAAATAAAGAAAAAAGTGTGCAAGACAATAAGAAACACTACCTGCCAAAGAAAAGTGAAGTTTTGTTGAAATCGGCTGAAAAATGTAGGAAATCCGATCCCATATATAAACACACACACACACACACACACGCACACACACACACACACACACACACACAACCTGGGTTTTATGATAAGTATAACTCGGTATGAGTTGTCCCTCTTTCATTCTGGCGACAGTGATGCCTCTTAATCGTGTTTTCAAATTGATTTTGTGCTAAAACAATTGTGTTTTTCGATTTTTGGCGCTGTCAGAACCACCGCAAGGTAATTTTATGTAGTCCTATGAAGTTTTGTTGAAATCGGTTAAAAAATGTAGGAAATCCGATCCCATATATAAACGTACAGACACACACACACACACACACAATCTGCGTTTTATAATAAGTAAGATTTTCTTCTACAAGCCGAAATATTCCAGAAATCTTATTAGAAAAAAAATTGCGCACTCCAGCAGGATTCGAACCTGCGTTTCCCTTAGCGAAAGCCATCATTAGATCTGACGTGCTTTAGATCCCTCGGCCATGCAGTTCTGCTCAAATTCGAGTATCCACTAAAAATAACATATCATTATATAAACAACCATCTCAGAGATGTTTAGAGAAGTTCCCCGCTCTGATATCACAGATGAATGTAGGTCCTGACAAGGGTGCAGGACTGCAACCCACATATTGGTAGAGTGTAATTTACAAAGTGCCCGAGTAGATCAAATGTAATCTTAAATATGAACGTTTCAAATATCGCGTTATTATTCTATCGACACACCCGCTTAATTACCTTCTCACCTCAGGAATTCAAATGGAAAAAAATAAATCCTTTGATGCTTATTCCTTTGATCTGCCGGCAAAAAAAAGAGAGAGAAAAAAAAAGAGTTAAGTAGCAAATTTAAGGGCTGCTACTCGCCAAATATCTATCGTAATTCTCTATCAAACCTTTTTTTTTAATTATAAGAACGTGACCTTTAGTTTATAAACGAACGTTATCTCTCAGGTCGGCAACATATATGCGAATGTGTTTGAAAGGCAAAATAATTTAATTTGCGTATTTTGCTGCGGCCTATTTTTCCGCGAAAAGTAGATTAAGATTTTAGTAAATTAACAGGTAGTTACTTTTAGTTTCTACTAGTTTAAAATGCTAGTTAATAATAAGAAATGACCAAAATTGATGAAGGAGTCTCCAGTAGTTCCAAATACATAGGGGCACTGAAACCTCTGAGTAAAAAGACCTTTCACTAAAAAAACAAAAAAAACTGAGGTCATACGGTCAGATTAAGGGGAGTGAATCGGGCCTATAATTTAATCACAGCTTGTAGTGCTTTTTTTATTTCTTCTTTTCATGGCTATAACTCCGTAACCTTTGTAGCTCTTAGCAACATTTGTTACATGTTTCTCTCTGTATTTTTTTTGTTTGTTTTTTTCCTCCATTTTTCAGTTCTTTTATTTTAAAGCAGTTCCATATTTAATTTTGATAAAGCCCAGAAATTCGTATATTAACAGAATCTCCTAAAAACATTGAATCATTTCTCCGCGATCTCTTGCATCTATTTTTCATTGTCATCTGTGTAGAATATGGACATCTCACCACACCACAGAGGTTGCATCAGTGACCAATTCTTGCGCAGCAGTTTTTGGCCAAGGTCTAAATTCCCCAGGCTCAACAACCAAATTCCCAAGATCTCGCCCCTTTCGACATTTACTCTTTCCAAAAATCACATCCCACTTGAAAGGAGTAAGATTTCAAAACTTCAAGGAAATCCAAGACAACAAATGCTCGCTATCCCCACAAAAAGGAGTTCCAAGAATACTTCCATTAGTGGAAACGACGCTGGATAAAGTCAGTGGCTTCAGAAGGGGAGTACTACTTCGAAGGAGATTAAAATATATTGATATGTTTTGTAGTTTTGTTTTTATAGAAGCAGTTCCGATACTTTTTGATCAGACTCCGTATATTTATTTCATGTCGTCAATGTTCATTTGTTTTAGTCGCGTTGCAGATTCATTTCATTTGTTTTTGATTGAGCTTTGACAAAAGAGAAACGAGAATCGCTCAGCTTTTCTTCGTTTTTCTTCCCTTTCATAAAATATATATTTTTCTTTTTTTTCTTCTATTTTCTTTTGTCTTCTTTTTTTTTCAATTTGCCATTTGTGTTGATTATAATTTCTTCATCCTGTCACTTTACAACTCTTTTTAATAATTATGTCTGTTAATATACCGTTACTTACATCCTGTGCCCTCACTTCCACAAGTAGATCTTTAATGGTCTGATTTAGTTTGTTTTATGCCATATCAATGTCAATGGGTTATTTAATACCGATAGGATTTTTACTGCTGGTAATATTTTTTTTTCAAAAATATATTGTTGGTACTATTTAAAAAAGAAATGTATCGTTGGGATTTCTTTTTTCAAAAATATATTGTTGGTAATATTTTAAAAAAGAATATACTGCTGGGAATATTTTTTTTCAAAAATGTATTGCTGATAAAAAAATTTCAAAAAAGTATTGCTGATTTTAAAACCTATTTTTATACTTTCATAGTGTTTTGACCCCTTTTGGGAGGTCAACTATTTGCCTACAGCTTGGACCCTGACAGGTTCTACCACCATGTTTCTGGGTGGACCTGGGAACACTAGCAATTAAGAGATGGCTCTATGCTACTCAAAACCTCTAATCAAAGGCCTTGCTGTCAGATGTAGTTTATCGTCTTACCCAAGATGCGGATATAGTTTCTCTTAACCAGGACGCGGATGTAGTTTGTCGTCTTACCCAGGACGGCATTGTCATCCTATAAATTTCAAGACAGATGTCAGAAATAATACTCACATTAACCAATAGTTCACACTTGGAGTTGGGTCGCTTACGCGTGGAATGGGCGAAGGGTGAATTAGGTCCTCTCTGGGTACCCCAAACTTGTGGCCTTGCGCCAAAAGCAAACTTTTTCGTTTATGTGTCTTCTACTTTCAGGATTTATAGCTCTACACAATTTCTTATCCTTTGTAACTCTAAGCAATAAATATCCGCTTACTATACCTCCGGGCTTACGGCCACATTACGTTGAAACATCGATTCCCATACGATCACCGAAGTTAAGCACCACAAACCTGGTCAGTACTTAGATGGGTGAACGCTTCAGAATACCAGGTGCTGTAA